CAAACAAGAAGGGACTCAAAGCCGATCCTTGATGTAGCCCCACCTCCACCTTGAACTCCTCTGTCTGACCTATAGCACATCTCACTACTGTCGTACTTCTCTCATACATATCCTGAACTCTGATGTACTTCTCTGCCACTCCTGACATCCTCATACAGTATCATAGCTCCTCTCTCAGCACTCTGTCGTACGCTTTCTCTAAATCCACAAAGACATAATGCAGCTCCTTCCGACCATCTCTATACTTCTCCATTAACATTCTCAGAGCAAAAATTGCATCAGTAGTGCTCTTTCTGGGCATGAAGCCATACTGCTGCTCACAGATATCCACTTCCTTTCTTAGCCTAGCTTCCACTACTTTTTCCCATAGCTTCATTGTGTGGCTCATCAACTTTATACCTCTGTAGTTGCTACAACTCTGCACATCACCCTTGTTCTTAAAGATCGGCACTCGTACACTTCTCCTCCATTCCTCAGGCATCTTCTCACTCTCTAAAATCCTGTTGAACAAACTAGATAGAAACTCCACTGCTGTCTCTCCTAGACACTTCCACACCTCTACAGGTATGTCATCTGGACCAACAGCCTTTCCACTCTTCATTCTCCTCAGAGCCTTCCTCACCTCATCCTTTCTAATCTTTGCTACTTCCTGCTCTACAATATTCACCTCTTCCCCCCTTCTTTCCCTCTCATTTTCCTCATTCCTCAGTTCCTCAAAATACTCCTTCCATCTTCTCTGCACACTCTCCTCACTTGTTAGCACCTTTCCATCTCTGTCTTTAATCACCCTTATCTGTTGCACATCCCTCCCATCACTATCTCTCTGTCTCGCTAATCTGTACAAGTCCTTCTCACCTTCCCTTGTGTATAACCTGGCATACAACTTATAATATGCTTTCTGTTTGGCCATTGCCACCTCCCTCTTTACTTTATGCTGCCCTTTCTTGTAATCCTGTCTACTGTCTTCAGTCCTTTCTACATCCCACATCTTTTTAGCTAGCCTCTTCCTCTGAATGCTGTCCTGTACTTCCTCATTCCACCACCATGTTTCCTTATCTTCTTTCCTCCTTCCAGATGACACACCTAGCACCTTCCTACCTGTCTCCCCGCTGTAGTTTCCCAGTCATCTGGAAGTTCTTCCTGACCACCCAAATCCTGTCTCAACTTCTGTCTGAATTCCTCACGACATTCATTTTTTCGCAACTTCCACCACTTGGTCTTCTTTTCTGTCTTTCCTCTCCTCTTCTTCCTGACCACCAGTCATCCTACACACCACCATCTGATGCTGTCTGGCTACACTCTCTCCTACCACCACTTTGCACTAATCTCTCTCAGATTGCCTTGTCTACATAGAATGTAGTCTACCTTCGTACTCCTACCTCCACTCTTATATGTAACTCTATGTTCCTCCCTCTTCTGGAAATAGGTGTTAACT